TCAATGAACCCCTTCTGAGGAACACATCTAACATGGGCCCACCTTGGTGCCTTCTGCTAGTGTCCCCTGTTCCCTACTTGGAGAGAATGGTGTCTCCAGGGCATGTTCCCCTGAAGACCACTTCCTTGCCCTTATGACAGGGGATGGATCACTTATGTTCTCCAACCAGCTCTTCTCTTGGAGCTGCTGCTCCCTCAGCCAGCCAACCTCTTGGTCTGCACACCTTGAAGGCTCCAGAGACACTGACTGCTGTTCAGGTCTCCATCGCCTTTTATAGGACCCTCCTGGCCCAACTGCCGTTCCAGCCTCCTTGGAGGACCTCTCTATGGCTTCTCTTCTGGGGTGGGGCATAGTAAGGCCACAAGTCTACAGCAGATGCTTCAGGGCCTGGTCTACCTCATCATACCTTTGTTGGCTGCATCTCAACTCCCAGCACTTTACAGGCCTGAGCACTAATTCTATACACATTGGGCCTGATTCTAACATTGTGTATACCAGTGTAGGTCCATTGACTTCAGGGAAGTTACTCATGAGTTACACACTGGACTGATGCCTGGGGTGGAGTTTTCACCCTCTGTGCTGGTGAGTGGAGGGATTCTTAGGCAACTATGGGCTGTGATATTTATTCATCTAAAGCTGAAGTAGCTGCTATGGAACAAAAATGCCGTAGGAACTTTCAGCCCTAGTGTCATCTAATTCCTGTCCCTTTTGTAGCATAAGAGTGCGATGTAGTCTAAGCTAGTTTCACTTGCCTGCAAAGCCATGGCTTAAGGGCTGGATTATCATTAATACAGAACAGAAATGCTGCCAACTGCTCTTCTTGTACTAGGCTTACCAGTGGATGTAACACTGCTGCTCATTGTGGCTTGTTTTTCCTTGTTTGCTCTCTGATGGACCTAGGAGAGCTGCAGTGCAAATTCAATGGTCACCTGGCTGCTTCCATGGGCACCAATGCCAGCCTGCTTCTTACACTAGCCATTGGCTCTGTATTTACCACACAGAGTTACACCATTCCCCTTGGATTCAAGAAGCAGAACTGGCTCAGTACGGTATGAGGGAGGCAAATGCTGAATCTGTTTAGCAATGAAGTAATTTTTGACATTGGGCTGAGGCAGTTAGAAAACGTTCCAAAACAAAGAGTGGAATGACAGAAGACATGTTTAAATCAAAATATTAAATACGAACGGTTATGCCAAGGAAGGACTAACTGGACGCTGCTCTAAGGCTTTGTTTTGTAAAAGATGCCATCGTCGGTCATAGTGAGAAGGAACAAGGCTGCCACGCATGTTGAATGAATTATCCCCGATCCCACTTTGTCCATCTGTGTTTCTTCACATCTTCAGCTCTCCCTGCTTTCCAAAGGAGGTCAGTGTAATCACTCCCATTGCCCAGCAGGGGCACTGCAGCACAGAGCGGTGAAGTAATTTGCCCAATTCACACAGCAGGTCAGTGGCAGAGAGGGGAACAGAACTGGGGTCTTCTGGGCCAGTGCCCTCAGAAACTCTGATTTGGAAAACGCACACAAATAATACTTGGCATGTCGGAGCCCACGCTCTCCAAATGCCTTACAAACAGCCGTACAAAGCTTCAGAGAAGCCCTCCGCCTCTTACCAGTAGTGGGTTCAATAACTTGCCTGAGGCACAAAGCTAATCTTGGATAGTTGCAACGAATACAGTGCTGGGCTCCTGAATCTCTGGGCTTTGCCCTCATTATGAGAAGATTCCTTCCATATGTAAAAATACTACAAAATGCATTGAGTGCAAATCCTGTCCCTGTTCTCCTCCTGGCTACAAATGGAATTGTTACCTTTGCGTTCCTACTGTAATGTATGACTTATCCGAGGCACAAAGGAAAGCATGTGGCATGCACTTTTGGGCTGTGTCTAGACTGGCATGATTTTCCGCAAATGCTTTTAACGGAAAAACTTTTCCGTTAAAAGCATTTGCGGAAAAGAGTGTCTAGATTGGCACGGATGGTTTTCCACAAAAAGTGCTTTTGCGGGAAAGCATCCGTGCCAATCTAGACGCGGTTTTGCGCCAGAAAGCCCCGATCGCCATTTTCACCATTAGGGCTTTTTTGCGCAAAACAGTCCTCCCCTGTCTACACTGGCCCTTTTGCGCAAATACATTTGCACAAGAGAGCTTATCCCTGAGCGGGAGCATCATGGTGTTTGTGCAATAACACTAACAATCTTACATGAGATCGTCAGTGTTCTTGCGCAAATTCAAACGGCCAGTGTAGACAGCTGGCAAGTTTTTCCACAAAAGCGGCTGCTTTTGCAGAAAAACTTGCCAGTCTAGACGCAGCTTTGGGGTAAAGTCGTCTTCCCCCCTTTAAAATTCCTAAGCCTGGAAAGAAATAACTGATGAGGATGGGAGGAAGGGTTAGAGCTCAGCGTGGGCAGATACAAGTACTGGGTTCTACTGCTACGTCTGCCACTAATTCTCTGTTGAACTTCGGGAAGTCACTTGATCTTGGTTTCCTCATCTATAAAGTGCTGCTAATTATGCTCCTTTACCTTCTGGGGTTGGGAGGGAAATAAATATTTGGAAAAGTACCTTGCATTTTTCATCAGAGGCGTGCAATCAACCTGCACAATGTGATTTCTTAGATGCAATCTCAGACCCTTGTACAATGCATACTCTCTCTCAGAGGCCCCATTCAAACTCAAGTTTCATATGCAGCTAAAAAAGAATGATTGCCCAGATATTACCAGGAATCTGGAAGGATGTCCTTCCCAGACTGTAAATTTGTACTGCAATTTGAATTTCCATCCTCTGAGATTTTTAAGGCCAGGCTTGACAAAGCCCTGGCTGGAATGATTTAATTGGGGTTGCTCCTGCTTCGAGCAGAGGGTTGGACTAGATGACCTCCTGAGGTCTCTTCCAACTGTAATCTATGATACTATGATTTAGTAACCAACAAATCACAGGGTGATTGATTGTGGGTAACGTTAAATATGTGGGGAAATGAAAACTTGCTTGTCCAAGAACCTTCATACTCTATACATTTGGGAAAATGTAGCATTTGGGGATTTTCGGATTATAAACAGTCAGTGGAAGTTTGTTTAAAATAATTATTTTTGCTGGTGGGAAATTTGTGAATCACACTTAACCCCTGGAAGATTATACATACTATTTTAGTACCTCAGTGAACCTTCTTATTTGTTTGGCAGTTTGGGAAACTCCCATTTGTAGGCAGTGCATGTTCTGAAATGGGCTCAAATCCATTTAGGCCTATAACTGGACACATTTTTATACAGCTTTTCCTACATATTCTACTATTGCTTTTTCTCTGGGCTGATTAGTTTCCTAAAGTGATATCAAGCCACTAAGCTAGGTTCTAAATCTTGCTACAAAATCCAGTCTCCAACTTTTTTTGAAACAAACTGGATTCTTCCATGGGCCTGAGCATGTTACCTAATTTTTTGTTGCTGTTGTTGGCAAAGCCAACATGCACCTAAAAATAGATACAGCTGCTGCATCTTGGATAGAGGTGCTAAACTAGGTGACCCCATTTGGCACTGAAGCCTGTGTTGAGTATGTGGCACATGAGCCTCTTGCAATGGATGCAGGAAGCTCTCCCCACTGGTATCTATGACATCTCCGCGGGTCTTCTGACACATGTTAATTCCAGAGTGTAATTTTTTAAACAGGTGCAGAAGAGCCAGGCAGGAATGTAGCAAACAGATGGGAAGATGCACTTCGTGGTTTTCATAACTTACATACACAGAGACTCTCTGGAGTCCTTTCAGGAATTTTCTATTAGTCTTATGAAAGAGATGTGAGGGTCTGCTGAGCAGATCTGAGTTACAAAATGCAAGACTCACACACAGGTGTCAATCCCCTCCTCCCCTACTGTTTCCTTTACTTGAGTCAAAAAACTCCAACACTCTATGCTTGTGAAGGTGTTGGTGTTGGGAAGTGTTGGGAAGTCAACAGTGCCTTGCAGAATAGTGATTATGGTCTTTGCTGCTTACTCAGGACATAATGCTGGAAGGGATGTCTTCAGTCATTGAGTATAGTCCCCTGTTAACGCAGGCAACCCCTTCCCCATTCATACCCCTGCACTTAGCCTAGATATTGTTTCTTTAATTCACAGAATTTGCAGGTATATGGATAGAGCGTTTGCCATGTACAAGGAGTCTGTATTGTCCTTGTTTTTCAGATGAGACACAATCAGCTTCTTCCCCACTGGTATGCCATAATGTCAGTAGTTTAGGGTTATGAAAAAAAAAAGTAAATAATCTGAAGATGACTAACCCATTACTTTCCAATTTCAGTACCTGGGCAGCAAAAGCATAGAGCAGTGGTCACCAAGCAGTAGATCGGGATCTACGAGTAGATCTTGGAAGCTTTGACAGGTGATCCTGACAGATTTGGTCGGAAGGCTATCAAGTGCTGGCACTTCAACTGCCTCTCAGCACTGCCATGCTGCTCCTGTCCTCTCTACCTTGGAGGTGCCCCTCACCCCTGGGAGCTTCCTGTTTTCTGTGCAGGGCACAGGAAGATGAGGAAGGGGGGGGGTGCTGATGTCAGGATGCCCCGCCCTCCACCCTGTACCTCATCACCACAGAGGAGAGGGGGGCAGGGATGGAGAGAGTTTGCTGGCTGCTTTTGGGAGTGGTGCTGGGCCAGATGGGGTGAGCCTGCCTTATCCCCCGACACCACCACCCAGAAGCCACCTGTAAGTGGTGCTCAGCTGGAGTCAGCTTTCCAAACCCTGGCCCCAGTCCTGAACCCCTCCTGTACCCCAAACACCTGCCCCCTGCCTGATAAAGTGAGGGAGGATGGAGTGAGCAGGGATGGGGTGTCAAAGAACAGGCGGGAAGGAGGTGGGGCAAGGGTGTTTGAGTTTGAGGTAGATCCTGGATTGCACTTAAATTTAAAAAGTGATCTTGTGCTTAAAAAGGGTGGAGACCCCTGGCATAGAGAACTGTTTAAAAATGAATGTTGTTTCCATAGTTCTAATACATTTCACACTGGAAAAGCAAGAAAGGAAAGATTTTATACATTTATTATATACAATATTAAGGCACAAGTTTAAGCAGCAAAGAATAGGAAAATCTTTGGCTGACCAACAATATCAATATTTGCCATAAGTGACACATAATGGTCTTCATTTCCCCATGTATGTACAAACACCCCTTCCAGCTGTACAACACTGTACACCAACCATTCTATACAACCAACAACAATAGAAAATGACAATATTTTACAACCAGTTACCAATGTCACCTGGAATGGCTACAGCACAGTTTCACAAAGCAGAATACAAATCAAGCAGTTGGGGAGAACAGTAGCAATGCAGTTACACTTGTTTGCTGAAGCTAGGTGAACTGATTTACTAAGAATAGTACTTTATGCATATTGCCACTAATACTTTAACTTTGGGTGGAGATCCATTGCCTGCCTTTGCATGAAAAGAAAAATGTCACAAGCTTAACAAAAGCTGGCAAGAATTACCCTCTACGTTTATTTCAGCTTGAATTCAAAAGCTATCTAAATAAATAGTTTTCTGTAGTGACTACAATCCTGGGCAGCATCATTTGTAAACACACTTTTGGGTATTGAAACTGGAGGAACTGATGCTTAAAGAAATGCTGGAAATATATATAAAGAGAGAGGGGGAGCTGTATTCTAGAGTGACGAAAAGAAGCAAAGTTATATTGCTAGGAGATACAATTGTGTGAAAACAACAACATCATGCATGTTAACAGAACACTGTTTTTGCTGGATGACTAGTTGTATATATGTACAGCATTTATTAAATATTTCCACCTGAAAGGAAATAGTATAGCTAGCAATAAACTACGAGCAAACAAAAGGATTACAAAGCTTCTGTGCATCCTTATTCCTTGGAAAAGGTCCAAGGTCCATTTGGTGAAATAATTATCACTATTAGTTTTATTTTTACTCCCTTTTCCATGTAACATCTTCCAAAAGGTTTATATGTTTATACATTTGCTTTGCAAGACAAAGCTGCTAATACTTAAACCATACCTTATTTCTTAGTTTAACAAGTGCAAACATTAGAGAGAGGAAGGCGCTAGTATTTCTAGGTATAGAAAAAAGTAAGTGCTTAGAGGTAACAGCATTGTTTAGGTACCAAACAAACAAACGGGGGTGGGGAATTGCTTTGCTATGCACAACTCCATGCTGTACCAGATACATGGCTAGCTTTTGGCACCTGCAGGCCTTCAGAGCACAAGTTTTCAGTGGAAGCAGAGCTGAAAGTGGCTGCAGTCTCCACAGACTAGTGGCCAGTAAGAAGAGCTCAGTGTGTTTGCAAGAGTTCCCCACATGGCCCGAAGTCAGCCTTGAACACATGAATGTATCTAACTATGTGATTTTTGTGACAAAATCAGGCTGAAAAGCTTGAAAGTGGTGGAAGGCAGATAGATGAGCCCGAGAATCACAAAGACCCTTTTCCCGAGAAAGGAGTTACCTCAGGTCCACTATGGACACTTGAATCCAGTTAAGGGCTTCCTGAGATCTTAAAAAACCTCTCCACTGGTGAGAGACTAACTGCTACAGGACTAGCTGCAGCATGAAGAAAGGCTCCTACACAGTGGATGGTGCTCACCTTCTACAGTGGAAGGAAGCTACCTAACTGCCTGTTTAGGGGATGAACAGCACCCCGAGGCCAATAACAAGGCCACCCCCTGCCCCAGTAATAGGGTAGGAAAAGGTATTCCCCTTTTATTGTGCTGTGACTTTGTGGCCTTTGGTTTGGTGGAAGAGCACTCCTTGGGCCTTCTCCAAAGCCTAGTTGGAAAATATTAACAAATAAGCCCCACTGTGGGAAAATAAACACAGTCAGGAGTGGGGCTGATTTACTCCAAGCCTGCCCCCACTGCCAGCGGGGCAGGTGCTGAGCCCTCAAAGATGGAGGAGGTGCCTTAGCACACTTTGAATCTTTGACCAGCAGAGCTGCTTCTTCCAAAATCACCCTCATCAGAAGGTCGCCTTATTCCCCACTTCAGGGGGAAAACAGAGTCCTAAGATCCAGGAAGGCTTCTTTTCAAAAAAGGAGCCTTTGGAATAGAAGAAGCCAAGTTGTGTGTGACTGTTAGATTTCATGATGAGGTGTGTCCGCTTAATTACTGCCACCAAAGAAAGGTAATTTTTAAAATGAGGAATGTTTCATCTTGGGAAAACAAGTGGAGAAGAGAGATGGCAGCTTAGCAGGAAAACAAAGAGATTATGCTGCCTCTCTACCTTTGCCTGCTCACTTTTGGGGAAACATTTTCAAAACTTGGGCTCTGCCCAGATGCAATTTATTTTTAATTTTAACAACAATAACAAAATCCCCAGCTGTGTTTGAGTGAAAATAAAAAGAATTCTTGTGGCCTTTCTTTGAGCAGCCCCCATAACTCAAGTGATGAAAAGGTGAATTCCAGCACCAACAAACCCCTCAAAGATCCTTTGATCTTTGACAGTCCTGGTCTACAAAAATGTGTTTTGATTTGACCAAATTTTGGATGAAGCATGGAGGATGAAATTCACCCTTGTGCAGAGAGCCAGTGCAAGAATCTGTTTACATAAAACAGGTACCACTTTTGTCCTATTTAAGCCTTATTTGGAGGGTTGAAGTAGGACATAGGTCTTGTGCTGGTATCTCTGCATGTGGGGTGAATGTCACTTCTAAGGACTGCTGAATCAGACAGTAATGGTTATACATTTGTAAATATTAAAACTCACCGCCAAAATATCCCTCAGGGATCCTAAGCTGGTGAATTTAAAAAATGCTAAAGCTTCCATCTCTCTACACACATACATGTGCTGTAATTAAAATTCAAGCCCAGTCCTGCAACTTCAACTCATGTGAGGAATGGCTACTTATATAAGGGCTGCAGGATTGGTCCCTTTAAGAGAAGGAGAAAAGGATTAGAAACGTTTCTGTGCATGTCCAGAAACATCCTTTTTCATTTACACAACCTGTCTGTCTCTTAAAATTAATGTAAACTTCCCTAACAAGCAGCTAAGAAATGCTGTAGAATTCTTACCAACAAAATGAACCATGCTATGTTGTTTGGGGATTAACTCCTGTAGAGCCCTGTGCCCTGGAATATCCACTGTCAAGTGAGAGTACATTTATTATTTCTCATTCCTAGGGTATTGATTAATTTCTTGTTATTATTTAATATATACCCAAGAGCTGGATTCTGATCTCAATTTCAAGTAATAAACCGGGATGAATGAGGCTGAATCCATCAATAATCTCCACATTCCTCTCAACCTCCTCAGTAAGGGTGTATCTACAATGCACCCTAACCTCAAAATAAGCTACGCAAGTTGCTTAGTTTATTTTGAGGTAATTTTGAAATAAAGTGCTATTCTGACAAGCCCCTTAACCCTCATGGAACGAGGGTTACAGGGACCCTGGAACAGCGCGCTTGTTATTTCTAAATTTATTTCAAAATAACAGGCGTGTTTAAAGACATGGAATAGCTATTTTGGGATACTTCTGGTATCCTGAAATAGCCCCGCTGTCTAGATGTAGCCTAATTGGCCCCAAACACTGACATAGCCCTGGCCTGAAACGCCGCCTGCCATGCTCAAATTCACCCTCACTTACAACTGGAGGGTAGAATTTGCACCACTGACAATACTGAAGCAGTTTGGACAGAAACTGCAGAATACGATAGCATTATTTTAACAAACCAGAGAATACATTGATGGTGGCACCATGTTGTTCCCTGCAAGGTGCTGAGCATCTTGAATGCCCATTGAATCCAAACTTTCATGAGTAAAAACATGTAGCACTTGAATATATGTACAATTTGCTGCTTGAACAGCTTTGTGTCTGAGTTTTAGGTATTAGAGCTGAGGGAATATGCTCAACATTTTTTTCCTGAATAGTTAGCAAATTTGTAAAAGAAATTGCTTTGACAGGGCTTTTACCCCATTTACACACTTCTATGCAAATTCTAACAAAGAAATGCTCATGGCAACAGTGTTTTGAGCAAGTTTTGAATTTGCACAACACAAATATTTGTTTTGGAAACCTGATCCCAAAAGCAGCACTCAGCCAATCAGGAAAGACCTAGCCAAAACAAACCAACATGGCTTGAAACAAATACTTAAACTGCTTTGTGCACAATCTAGAGACCTAGAATTTTTCACTAAAATTATCTGGTGAACAATTATGAATAATGACTACATTTGAGAAAATGTAAACTTCTGGACAAGTCACAAACCTCTACTGACTTCAACAGAACCAGGATTTTAGTCTCTGTCTTGGTTGTAGCTAGAGAATAAAACAAAACAGCTATAGAATACTGTGAAAGTATCCCCTGTAAATGGTTAAATGGTAAAAGGATACCTTTCTCTACAATAGCAAATGCAGTTCCTATTTTCTTTACCATGTCTTTGTGAATCTACATTTCTTTATCACCTTCTGTTGTCAGAATATTCCAGCCATTCATGTCCACCTTCAGAATCCTTCATTTCACATTTACATCTCTTTCTTTTCCCTCTGTCATTCAAAGACTTAGTCCTCTCAGCCTCTGGGCTCCTTCCAGACTTAATCTTTCTCAGACTTTCTTGAGATTTGTACGTTTAGTTTAAGATTTGCACAACATTGGCCTCCATGGACTTTAAAGTATCTGCACAAAATCCTGAGGAAGGTTACTCTTTCCTCAGATGAGGACTTCCATCATGTCGGCATCAGGAAATTCAGGCTTCTGGACCAAACTGCTTACTCGACCTTTGTTATCAGAGAGCTTGCCATGGCTGGGGGAGCTCTCTGTGACAGGGAAGAGAGAGAGAAAGTCCAATTAATCAAAAGCTCTCTAAAATGAATGCAATTTTTGGTGGGGGGGGGGAGGGGGGGGGGGAATCTCTAACTATACTGTTTAACATTTAAGGCCAAATTCATCCCTGGGGTAGTGACATCGGAGAGAGCTTCTCTGGTGTCTGCCAGGGTGGAAAAACTTCTCGGTCTCTTTCTTATGCCCTCTGGGATAAAAGTCTTGTTTTTATGTTTTGGTTTTGAAATTTGAAAAAAAAAAATCCCTTCCACTTGCAACATCTGAGTTCCTCTGTAGCAAACTGGATTTGCACCGAGAAGGACTTGGACATACTTCATACTAGAACCTGACCCTGAATTCCTTGTGCACCAAAAGAATCCCACTGACTTTAGTAAGTTAATTAACATGCAAAGAACGTAGGCCAGGACACAGTGCGAATTAAAGAGACATGGTGATGATAAAAAATGGTATTTAACCATGTTTCTTCCCCTATGTTGTTAAGAAACACAATAAATGCCTACCTAGGTACTGAAACTGTCATATCACCATAACAATCCTCAGACTCTTCAAGCAGAAAGAATTTTTATCTCATGAAAGAATAGAGAAGTTCTTAATTTAATTGTTTAAAGAGTTTAATTCATTGTTAATTGAAAAGGGGCTTGAACTAAACTCCAGAGCTGAATTTTGGAAAACATAATGACTGAGATTTTCAAGAGACTTGTGATTTTCGACACTTCACAGAGGATGCGGGTGCTCAGTTCTGTTCCTTTATGGTATCTCAAATTGGACATTAAAATCCCAATTTCCACTGAAAAACTGAAATTTGGAAAATGTCAACATGATATGGGCTTTAGCAGTACATGAGGAAGCTGATGGGACAGTGTAAACTCATAGTAATTCTACTGACTTTGGTGCAGCTACTCTGGATTTACAGTGATATAATTCAATGCAGAATCCCTATATATTTTAAAGTTGCTTTTATTCTTTTTCTTTATCTGTGAAAACAGTTGTTCTCATATAGCATTTTGAAAAAAATAATCTATTATACTATTGTAATCCATGTATTTTAGTTATCTGTGTATTGCACCCATCACAAGAATATCTATATGAAAACACACCCATTTTATTTCCCTTCCTGAAGCCTAAATTTAAGGCGTAAATTACTTTATAGCCCCTCTATGTAATTAACAGCAATGGATTTTTCATGGAGAATAAAAGACTGTGTAAGAAACTGTCTTGTTTAAAATGATGTTTTTAAAACGTTTCCTCTACCTAGGGGTGTATGGAAACAGTCCCATCTGTGAAAATTATTTCTAAATCAAATTTCCCTAGTTTTTACTCAAAAGTAAACCATTCTGTGGTTTTGGCTCATTTTTCACACAACTTTTCATAAAAATATGAAGCAAGTGGTTTCTTCCCCGCAAAATACTTTACATTGGGAAAATTCTCCATGGGCGGTGGGTGAAAGCCCAGCTGGGAAAGGGAAGCTCCAGTCCCGCCCCTTCTGCCTAACGCACCGCTTCTGAAGCCAAGCCCTGCCCACCCCAACCCACCCCCTCATGGCCATGTGGACAGCCAAGGCTGCTGTGCTGTGGCCCCGGCTCAGTCCTCCCTGATGGCTGGAGAAGCCAGACTGGCACATGACCATCCAGGAAATTCTCCAAAAAGTGTTTGTCTGAATGTGGGAACACATCTCTATCTTAAATTTGATTTACAGAATGCTTATGATTATAACCAACACCAATGTATCCATCTAGCTTAGAAGTACTTATATCTATATAGCTGTCTGTCTATAATTATATTTGTCAGAGACTCCTACACAGTGCAGGTCACGATAATATCAATGCACTGATTGTTTCCTGAAGCTTGGAATCACTTACCTAGTTTATCTCTAGTGCCTTTGGTGCCCGTGTGTCTCAGGGCAGGGCTGTTTGAAGGGGTGGTGCTTAGCCTTCCTCTGCCTGGGAAAGAGGCAGTGTTTGGCCAGAAAAGTTCAGAGCTTTTGTCAGTCTGAGTGCTGCTGTCTTTGCTGCCTGTTTTAGCATGGGAGACGCTGATTGGCAGGCAGGGGGCTGCACAGGACAAAGAAGGTGGTGGGGGAGGCAGTGCAGGGACTGATGAATGGTCATGATGATCCCTTCCTAAAAGCAACCCTACAAGCACAATAATAATCATGTTAGAAAATCGGAGATGGAAAAGCCCTGCAAGATCCCTCAGCTTAGCCTCCTCTCAGGGCAGGATTGTTCCCCGGGGCTTTGGTGCAGGGTAGTTGTAAATATATCCACTAATGAGATGTCCACTGTTCATCTGGGGAGGTTCCCCCAGAGAGACAGCCTCCTAGATCTCACTATCAGGCAGATTTTCCTTCTAGTCAGCTTAAAAGGTCCCTTCTCGAGTCCACTGTAAAAACCCCTAAAAGGGAAAAGGGGCTCAGGAATGGAATGAGATTCACCTCAGGGATGAGGAGTTTGGAGACTCGGCACCTACTCAGGGATGTGTTGGCCCCACTATGGTATCACCCAACTTCCCCTTCCTCCCACAGTTCTCAAAAGAGCAGAACTGACTGGTTAAGGGCAAGAGTACACCTCAGACAGCAGTTGTCATGCACCCCTTCCATCATTTCCCAAAGCCATGGAGGCCCAGCCTTGCACAGTTGGGATAGAGGAGCTTCTCTAGGCTACCAAGGAGGGGAGGAGCATACATAAAAATATAGAAACGGCCACACTGCATCAGACCTAAAGACCATCTAGGCCAGTATCCTGTCTTCTGACAGTGGCCAGTGCAGGTGCCCCAGAGGAAATTAATAGAACAGGTGATCATCAGGTAATCCCTCTCTTATCACCCATTCCCAGCTTTTGGTAAACAGAGGCTAGGGACACAATCCTTGCCCATGCTGGCTAATAGCCATTGATGGGCCTATCCTCCATGAACTAATCTAGTTCTTTTTTTGAACCCTGTTACAATCTTGGCCTTCACAATATCCTCTAGCAAGGAGTTCCATGTGTTGACTGTGAAGCGTGTGAAGAGATACTTCCTATTTATTTTAAACTTGAATACAATGAAGATTCTGATGCCAATCTTTCACTCTCCAACTCTCAATTCTATGCATATTTGCTTCCCGCATCCTGTATGAGTGGATAAAGGCACCAGAGCCTTCCTTTGATCCCATTACCGCTCATTATATTCTGCACTGCTCTGCTTCTTCTCTGGTGTTCATGTTGCTCCCATGACACTCAGAAACCACTTCTTCTAGGTGTACAGATTCAATCATCTTTATCTCTTCTGATAAATCAGTCCTTTCAGAACAATTGCTCTTCTCTGAATCCCCCCTCGTTTGCCTGCATGGTTCTGACACCGAGCACACGGCGCACAGCACTCCGAAATTGCTATCTCAGCACTGCCAAGGGGCTATGGCTGGCTTGCAATGCCTTTTTGCACACAGCCCAAAATTGCACGCCTTCCTTTTTTTTGCAATATTACATTGCAAATCTCGATCCAAAGTGCTGTCTGCTCACTAATTGAACGCAACTTTTCCTAGCCCCAGGTAGGTTTTACTCCCATGAAGTCTGCATGCACTGCCTGCATTCCCCTGGGTATGACTGTCAGGTGAGTACAACTGTGCTGATCACACAGGACTGTGGCTCAACCTCCGTTTGTGGAAGGTGGCCAATCGCACTTTCAAAGCTGTCATTTTCCCTGTCTTATTCTGGCCACAGACAGATTCTACTTGTTAAGCCTTCCTTTCTCTCAAACTATTTGCACTGCCAATGCCTCGCTCAAACTGGCACTCACCTATGCTTCCTTTCCAGGTCTTCTCTTCCTTCTTTTCCTCAGCTATTTGATTGCTAGTGAGAGAGGTCTGGCGGGAGTGTGCCCCCGTTGCTGCAGCAATGGATGGGACCGATCGAGCAGGCCGTAAACTTGTGCTGTCTGTTTTCCCAGCATCCTTTCGCAAACGCTGCTGAAGGACCTTGATCATGGCATCTTTCTCGATTATTTTCGCATGCAGATTCTTTATCCTGCCAAAAGACAAATGTTCCGCTTACAAAGATGGAAAATTGCTTCTAGATCACAGCTTTTCCATTGCTGCCCTTTCAGGACTGTTCTCTTCACTACATTCTCTGCTGCTTTGCCCCTTCCAGTTTTAAGTGACTCAAACAATGAAATTCTCACCATTTCGTTTGAGGGGCAATTGCACAGCTTAATTGGGCAATATTTCCTGCTACTGGACAAAGGGTGAGGGTTCTTTGTAAGATTAAATAAATAAATGGATTTAAATCAATAGATCATTAATATTACTTTAATAAACTAGGAAAAATAATCTGAAAAATAGTCCTAAAGATGCTGTGGACTTGCGGGCCCACTCAGATAGGTAAAAGAGCTATTTTCTTTGCCCCATAATACTTCTGCAATAAATTCTGAGTTCTTTACTGAGTTTTGCCTGAATCAAGGTTCACTAAATTAAAACTGAGAAAAAGCTCATAATTTGATCCTATAGTAGGAATAAAGAGTGTAACAATTACATGATCTTGCCAAATCTCTAAAGGCCCATACCAACTGCCACTAACATATGTGAAAACAAAGTCCATTGCTTTCAGTGAGAATTGGATTGGGCCCTTAGAGTATGTCTAGACTACATGCCTCTGCCGACAGAGGCATGTAAATTAGACATACCGACCTAGTCAATGAAGCAGGAATTTAAATATCCCCCACTTCATTAGAATAAAAATGGCAACCGTGTTGTGCCAGCTCAGCTGTTTGTCGACACAAAGCGGCAGTCAAGACAGGGATCGATCGACAAGGAAAGCCTTTGTCGACCGATCCTGTAAACCTCGTTTCATGAGGTATAAGGGATTGGTCAACAAAGGCTTTCCTTGTCAACCGATCCCCGTTTTAACTGCCGCTTTGTGCCAACAAACAGCTGAGCCGGCACAATGCGATGGCCATTTTTATTCTAATGAAGCGGGGGATATTTAAATCCCCGCTTCATTGACTATGTTGGTATGTCTAATTTACATGCTGCTGTTGGCAGAGGCATGTAGTCTACACATATCCTCAGTGTCTTTTGAAAGCTGTGGAAAAAACTAACGTTCTGTGTTTTCAACTGGAGGCCACAACTTTCTTCAATAGACCCTGAAAGAGTTTTAAGATTATAAAGGATCAATTATCTGAGACAAGGCTGTGGAAACATAGCAGTGGGGAATTTAACACTGAATCAAACAGAAAAGGTTTGAACCAAAAAATTAAAATGACTGTCAAATGAGAATCATGGCTTAGGAAATATGGTCAAACACAGCAGACATTTTTGAGGAGGGTTTTAAAAAAGAAATCTCACATACTGTCTAAAAAAACATATAGGGGACATGGAAACTTTAAAACTGTCATTTTCAAAGTGAAATGCCTAATTTGCACAAGAGATGCAAGCAACTAGAATAGTGATGTGACTAGTCACTCCCCCCGCCCCCTTGCTGCCTCTATCAAAAGAGGCAGCAAGGCAAAGGGGAGCAGGAACCGGTGCTAGGGGGAGCTGGCTTAAAAGCCTATTCCCCCCCGCACCATCTCCGCGGCGTGCAGGGGACGTAGAAGCACAGCAAGAAACGGCACGAACGGGGACTGAAGCAGTCTCCTCTCATGTCGTTTTCTGCTGTGATTCTGCTTTTGAAATGCACAAAAGAGCCCCAGCGAGGCTCTTGTACATTTCAAAGGTTCAGGCGCCACAGGAAACATGGGGCCCACAGGTCCCCTGCTGGCCCTGCGCTCCCTGCGGGGCTTCCTTTTGAAATGTACAAGAGCCCCACTAGGGTTTTTGTACATTTCAAAGGCTCAGGTGCCAGTGGGAGTCCCCCGCTGGCCCGCGTTCCCGCAGGGCTTCTGCTTTTGAACTGTAGCAAGAGTCTGGCAGGGCTCTTGCTACAGTTCAAAGGCAGAAGCACCCTTATAGACTAATCAAACAGTTGATGGAAATCCCATCAACTATTCGATTAGTTAATTAATCTAAATTTAACATCCCTAGTTTGCACATGCAACATAAAAGCCTGCTCCATCTCTTAAGTCAATGCTAAAATTCTCACTGGTTTTAAGTCCTCTGTGTGTGTGTTCTATGCACATGTGTGTAAGATGAAAAACAGAGAACTGGTTTAAAATATATTTTTATTTTCTGAAAAAAAAATGGAACAAAATGACATTTTTGGTCCAGAATGTTGTGTGGCCTTTGTTTATCTTTTCAACAAAACCTGAGAAATATCTGTGAAAACAGAAACTTTTTCCAAAAAAAACCCTTGCTGTTTAGCCAAAAGGACATTCATAATCAAAACATTTTTGACCAGTTCTAGCAAACAAATATTTGCATGTGCATGCTCAAAATGGAAAACCTGCATACACATAGACAGGATTTGTACCAACTATTGCTTTCACAGATTCCACGCCAGGAGTGACCATCGTGATCCTCTACTCTGCGCCTCTGTGTAACACAGGCATAGAACTTCCCCAAAACATTTCTAGATCATAGCTTTTACAAAAACATCCACTCTTCATTTGAAAATTGCTGTGATGAAGAATCACTTGATAAAATTGTTCCAACAGTTAATTATCTTCACTGTTAAAAATGTATGCTTTATTTCCAACTGATTTTGTCTGTCTTCAGCTTCCAGCCATCGGATTATGTACTCCTTTTTCTGCTAGACTGAACAGCCCATTATCAAATATTTGTTCCCCATGTAGGTATTTATAAAATGTGATAAAGTCAACCCTTACCCTTCTCTTTGTTAAGATAAATAGATTGAGCTCCTATCATTATAGGGCATGTTTTCTAATCATTTTATCATTTTTGTGGCTCATCTCTGAATACTCCAATTTATCAACATATTTGTGTAGGCATTTTTTTGTGTGGATTCAACTTCAGGTGTTCAGTTTTGAAGGTGTGCCCCTACATACCCATGGTAAATTTCATAGAACTTTTTGAAAGAGAGAGATCAGATACATTCAGGCTGTGTCTACATTGGCACCCCCTTCCGGAAAAGGGATGCTAATGAGACCAGTCGGAATTGCAAATGCCGCGGGGGATTTAATATCCCCCGCGGCATTTGCATGAACATGGCTGCCGCTTTTTTCCAGCTCGGGGTTTTGCCGGAGAAAAGCGCCAGTCTAGACGGGATCTTGCGGAAAATAAGCCCTTTTCCGGAAGATCCCTTATTCCTACTCATCTAAAAAGTCATAATTTTGACTGAGATCATGCAAGCATTTAGCTACCTCTCATGCCAACCTCCTTTTTCTAGTAAGGAAGCCATATGTTTTTAAAATCTCTTCTTTGATGTGAAGAGGTTTAAAACCTGGGAGAGGAGGTGGCAGAACCTAATCTCTGTCTTTTAATAGCTGAAGAGTGAAATGACTAGAAGTCAAATTGAAGCAAAATCCCTTCTTTTAGAGTATGCTAAAATGACGTGTGTGCTGGCTTATCCAAGGATCCGAGTGGTTAGGATGCTATGGATCTAATGCTAAGCCCTTTAACACAAATCCCGTGGTAAGTATTGAACAGCTGTTCTTTACGTGTATTCCATGTCCTGACACCTCCGGTTGGCTTGCACAATCTCCTCCTCTTCCTGCCATATTCGAACCTCCAGGGAGTTCTCACTGTAGCTGCCATTCCGCGAGTGATTGAGGACTGATGTATCCCTAGCAACACAAACACAGCCCCACCCTTAGTGTCACTTGGTTCAATAAAAGGCCTTTTTTTTTTCAATACAAAACAGACAGGAAACTGTTATTTTACCATTCACATTACAATGGAAATCCTCATCTATATTTGGAGTGTGTGATAGTCCAGTGAAATGAGGATTTCTAAAAATACAACAAAAGGTTGGGAGGAACAAATCGGAGGTGAACTCTCATCTTCTAAAATGAATTAAAATTAAAGGAAATTATCATGGTAAAAACAACGGGCCAGGTCCTCTGAAACCACTCAGCTCCACTGGCTTCACTGAACCTGTGTTGATTTATATCAGCTGAAGACCTGGTCCAGTATATTAAACAAAAAATCCTTAGCTGGTGATATAAATAATAAATATATGAATTGTGGATTGTTTTTAATGTTCCTCAGGTTCCTGAGTTTTGGAATACACTTGAATCATGTTTCATCTTTTCTGTACAATCACAAGGGCTAGAAAATTTTTTAAAAATTAATGAAAGCTGAGATTCTTAAGTAATGACTTAATGGTTTATGAAAAATACCAATAGTGTGAGGGCTGAAAGCAAATCACAAGCATCAACATCATTGAATTCAAGTTGCTGTTTGCTTCTGCCCTTCAATGCTGGATGAGAAAATGAGACTGATCTATTTAGTTTCCCCTTTCAAATTCAGTTTCACTTTTTGGGTGTCATACATTAGAACAAAGCTGGTGTGTTTCGGTTCCCAAAGCTGTAGGGGAAATTTTCAAGAAAACATTTATATAAGTAGGTAATTGATAAACTTTTTTTTTGCAAACCCTGTGTTTTTTTCGATTGATTTTTATTTTACTTCTTTTGTTCATAAAAGTCACACCTACATTGAGGATCTAAAATATTAAATAGGGTCCTTTTAATTATGATATATTAAGTGCCTGTACACATCAGTGATAATGCCTTGTATTACCTGTGACACAGAAATATGAAAACCCCTATTCTGAAGACACAAGGGATATGATTTTTGAAGGTGCTGTGCAGAGGGGACTGGTGAGGGGAGCTCAGGGAGCCACCAGCCACGTGACCCCCACAGCCTAGGGAAGGGCTGGAGTAACTCCCCTCCACTCCAGGCCCCACTGACCCCCATCCTGCTTCACCTTTTAGCCATCCTTGCTCCACCCTTTCCCTGCCTTTTCCCTGCTCTTGCTCCACCCCCACCTCACCTCTGCCCCAGCTCAGAGCCTCCTCCCTCTCTCTGAACCCCTCATTCCTGGCACCACCCTGGAACCCTCATTCCTAGCCCAGAGCCCACATCCTATCCCATACTCTGAACCTCTCAACTCTACCTCCCCAGCCCAGAGCTCTTACCTGTATCCAAAACTCCTCATTCCTGGCCCCACCCCAGAGCCCACTCCCCAAACTCAGCCCCAATCCAGAGCCATAAAACCTTCATTTCTAAATCCATCCCAAAGCCTGCTCATGCAGCTGGGGCTCTCAGTCCTACCTGCTCCCCAACTCCCTGTCCCGAGCCTGGTGAAAATCAGTGAGTGAGCAAGGGCGGGGGACAGCAAGTGACGGGGGATGGAATGACTAAGGTGGGTCCTCAGAAAAGGGGTGGTGCAGGGGGATGACCTCAGAGAGGGAGTGGGCAGGGGTGGGGCAAAGGGCTTTGGATTTGTGTGATTAGAAAGTTGGCAACCCTAACCACCAGGAGAAAGGAAGATGTGGAAACTGCAGACGCTCCCTGGGAGGAGGCTTTGGGAAACTGGCAGGCCTAGGAAGAAAAGGTGACCCAACTGTAGGAAGAAGCTCAGGGACAAAGCCAGAGAGAAAGGCCCAGATTGCTAAAATGAGACTCCCTGGGCTGGAACCTGGAAAACAGGTGCGGCTTGGGTTCCCCTACCAGCCACTGGGTGAGTGACACTGAGGCAGTGAGCAAGAGAAGAGGAAATGTGGCCAGTGACACATCCAGATGGGCGAGCCATTAAGAGGATGTTGTGGTTCCTGAGATGGTGAGAGGAGCTCCAGGCTGATGGGGAGGATGGTGTACAAGCCATGGATGGGGGGGAGGGGGTATTGCCTCAAGCTAATTCCCTGAGTACCAAAAGGAAGCACCAGTGAGATGGTGTGTGGTGCACCCCATAACATACATCTCTGGAAATCAAGCTCCCAGTAAATACATTCATTTTGGGGGTATATTAAAACGCCTGAATCTGTGTGAAATACTTGATAGTATCTGGCAGTAAACAGAGGGAACTTCCTTAATACGATGAGAAAAATCCTACACACACTCTCTGTTTCCCCTCCCCTGCACATGCCAGGAACATTAAACCAGCTCAATTAAGGAAAACTTCTGCCTTCCTTTGATACAACAGGAATAGGTAGGATCCTGTGTAAATCATAATTTCCTGGAGGGCATGGAAATTATTAAATGCCCCCAAATCATTTTAAAATATTTTAAAAGGCAAATGTTTACAACAGTCAGTTTCAAGAACAGAATGAATTTTCCAAGTAAGAACAGTCAATGAATTTCCCATCCTTGAATCTGATGAACATTCTTGTAAAATTAATTCTGTCCTTAAAACTGCCTACATTTTTGGTGTACGCTCCCCTCTGTGCAAACTCCGTGAAATTCAATACTTTGCCATTTGCACTGTGGTGAATTTTCTAAAAACAAGAATTATGATTTACATGGGACCCACTTTATAGGACACTGCTGGAGGGTGGTTTACTGACCTTGATAAATCATTGGTCTTCACTAGAAAGGCAAGGCCTTGCCATAGTAAACAAGTCCATTAATTTCAATGGTGCAACAAGACTGGATAAAGCAAGCCAAACTTGTCCCTCAGAAACTTGTCCATTTCTTTTTCCAACCCAAAGCCTCATTCAACTTAGTGTAGTGTTGACTGCCTGAACAACATTGTCTTACCTCTCTGCTGCAGCTGTGGCTGCTGCATTCATGGCAAAGTGCCTGAATGTGCTCTCCTCTAGATATTTCTGTTCCCACTTGGTCATGTCAGCTTCTAGAGCCAGAATCCTCTCCTCCTTTTCCCGCACTAACTCCATCAGTGCCGGGGCATTGTGTTCTGGCAGGTTGTCAGCCTGGTAGTTCCCCTGTCTCTGGAGTTGGGGAGAGGGAAACAGTGAAAGATTTTCAGCCTGCATCAGCTGCAGGCATGTCTTCTACAAAAACTTCTGCAAAACAAGCACAGGAGCTTTCAACCTTTTGGATGGCCAGCTGCTGAATCAGTAGCCACCCAGGCAACCAGAGCTTACATAGGCTCCTGGACAAAGCGTGACCCCGTAGTTATTGCCTACAACCAGTGAGATGCAACTGTGCTCTGAAATCTGTTACTAGCAAATCCACACCATCGAGACAGCTGATTTATTGCTTAGCAAAGGGCAAAGTGCTTCAGATAGCACGTGTAGAACGTCCCGCTAAGGGTGGGGTTCTGTGTCGTTCTTGAAGGTGACCAACCAGGGGCTAAGAGATGTTAAAAGAAGCTAGAAGAGCTGGTGGTCCCACCACAGCAGGCATGTGCCTCACAGAGTGTCCTCTCTAGCTGCCCACCCTTGCACATAACATACACTGTAGGAGCTGCTATCCCGGGCACACCTACCCCTTCATACTTAAAGGACTGCTGAAACAGGCTATGGGATTGTGAAATAGGCTAGCAGAGACAGCCTGTCTGGTGCCTACTACAGCCTGCCCATGCTATGGCAGAAAGCTGAAACAGCACACAGACTAGTGACTTTTGCAGCACCTACATGGGGCACTTTAAAAAGTTCCACCCTCTATCTTTTCATCTCTGTAATTGCTGTTGTCTTGCACTGCTAAGCGGCTGAGGATGCAGATAGTAGGAAAGGCGCAAGTAGGGATGTTAGCAAGTAGTTGACTGAAGCAGCGGGAGGTGGGGGATAGGGGAGACTGCTGCGAAGCAGCCCCTTGTCCGTGGGGGTCCCAGCGGGGAGCTGCCTTTTCCCCAGACTCTGTGGACAGGGACTGCTGCACGCAAGCTGTCGCTGTTCGCAGAGGCCCATGAATAGGGGCTGCTCCGGCAGCAGCCCATGGCTGCAGCCAA